TACAGTGTGCCGGGAATTTAGAACAACTGTTTGCAAGATTGCCAAGCAATCAAGCAATCTTGGTCTCGCCGACTAGTTTACATGTTAGACCAAGATCATTGGGGGAGCAAGATTGCCAAGCAATCTTGAATCTTGGTCTCCAAAAAGGTAAACTAGTCGGCGAGCAAGTGGGCAAGTGGGGCAAGATGACAAAGTTTGCCAACATTGCTTGGAAATCTTGCTCCCCTCCTGACCCAGATGCCAAGATCACCAAGATCGTTCCGTCAAATTATTGTTCGAAATCCCCGGCACAACGTACTACGACACCGTTGGATTGCCACAAGAACAATAGTCGGGGTGGTGCTGCCGGTGGTGGTGGCGGTGGTGGTGGTGGTTGTCGTATTGATGTAGGAGTATAATTGGCGTTGTCGTCGCCGGCACGCAGAATAGCAGGAGTAGTAGCGGTCGTCGTCGTCGTAGGAGTAGAAGTAGGAGTTGTAGGAGGAGTAGGAGGAAGAGTAGGAGTAGGAGGAGTAGCATTAAGAGTCGTCGTCGTCGTAGGATAGCAGTAGGAGGAGGAAGTAGTAGGAGTAGGGGTAGGAGCATGAGTAGGAGTAGGCGGAGTAGGAGGAATAGGAGGAACAGGAGTAGGAGTAGTGGGCGGAGCAGGAGCAAGTAGTAGTAGTAGTAGTAGTAGTAGTAGTAGTAGTTGTTGTTGTTGTAGTAGTAGTAGTAGTCGTAGTCGTCGTCGTCGTCGTCGTCGTAGTCGTAGTCGTAGTCGTAGTCGCAGTCGCAGTCGTAGTCGTAGTAGCAGTAGTAGCAGTAGTAGTAGTAGTAGTAGTAGTAGTAGTAGCAGTAAACAAGGAGGAGCTGGAACAGCGGCAAAAGTCGCAGTTCTACTTACAAGCATTAGGTTTATCGCCACCGCTGGCATTCGTAACAATGGTTTCTGCTCTCGCTTTTGTCGCTACTATTCGCAGGTTTGGTATAGAGACTGCCATGTTCTAGCATGTTCTAGTACATGTCATCCTTCTTCCCAGCTCTTGTGCGGATGCTCATCATTGCTCTACTACGCCGACCGTCATCGATACAGTTCTGCTAGCCGCTAGCCATCCTTTTATTTTGGATATGCCCTTTGCGACAGAACGACGAAGCTTCTCGAAAATGCAAGCAATCCTGAAGCTGGTCGTCATCGATCTTTTCCATGTGCGGTGCACGGAAGCGTGTACGCCCACCCTATGTTCGCCTCGCCCTGCTTTGCAAAAAGTGCACCTACACCTAGTACTAGCCATCGTCATGCAAACACCAAGCTGACACGACGGCTGCATACTGTATTTTGCCCGCTACTCCGGCTCATGCTCATGTCAGTTGCTAGGAACTTGGGACCGGTTCGAGCTGCGTCAAGCAGAATCAAGTCAATCCATGCCAGCCAAACTCTCACAAAAACACCGTGCCGCTGCCTCGGCAAACTTGGAGCTGCTAAGCAGCCTGCTTCTGCAAACTTTAGGCCCGGACGGCTTCACATCGCGATGTATCAAGCCTCGCAACACGCTTGAAGAGGCTGCTCCGATCCCTTGCTAGTCCGTTCCTCTTCTGGCCTCGTGAATGCATATATGCAAGTGCCTGGCAACCACGTTTTTGGCAAAGCCACATGCGGTCAGCTACATGTGCAGGTGGAGCATGCCAGAGAAGATAAGGACTCTGCATCGAGTACTTGGCGAAACCTGGGTGTCGCAAGTACTCAAGACGACCCCGATCTGTTTCCCAGCAACGCAGAGAAAGACAAAGCCACTGCCTTCAAGGAACAGTTTCCAAATGAGTGCTTCATCCTTGTGCAGAGCCCCACTTCCAATGGCCTGTGCACATGCAATCCTGAGCATCACTAACTTTATGGGCCGTTGCATTGGCAGTTGCTGCAGGCCAGCAAGGCTGCGACCGGCAACAGCCCTTACTGTTGCTGGACCCGTCCACCTCGCGAAGAGTCGTGCCGTCGCAAAACTCCATCCTTGGCTTGGGAGGCTCTGCGACGACGGCAGAAGTCCCGGGGGGCCTGAGGCTACAGCTGAATGTACAGGAACTCCCGCTGCAAAACGGAACCTGGCTCGTGAAGCGACGTAAGATGCTAGTTGCGTGTTTTCCACCCAGGCACACGTCCTTTTGCTTGCACACGAGGTTAGTTGAGAGACTACAGGAGATTCCGCCTAACACTTGAAAACCTGAAGCCTGGTTTAGCCAACCAGCTCCGGCGAGAAAAGCCCTGGCTTTGACAAGCCGAAAGGCCCGAGGCCTCACAGACACTCGCCTCATTTCAAGCCCGTTGGCCAGAGCCGCCGCGGTGAAAAAGGCAATGGTCACGATCAGGGATGCCTCTACAAAGGTTGCCTCACCAGCTTCGGTGATTTGCAGGATTTCGCAGACCAATGCCTCTTTAGCCACCGGCTTGAAATCGACAGGCCCGCAGGCCTTCACACTTGCTAGTTCCATGAAGTCAGACTCCTTTTCCGTGCAGTTCTGTCAAAGACGAAGAGCACAAGCGCCATCGAGCAACCCACTACCGCGAGCCCCCGTATTTTGGTCATCCAGCTCGCTGGTGGCTCGTAATGAACTTCACGCTGCCCCCGTCGCCCGTCTCTTTTCGAAGGAGCCCATCTGTACGGATCATGGTAGAACAGGCCATTGTGGGTTCGAACGATGTGATCACCGTACCCCCTGCCACTCGATGATGGCAGTGTCCCGGACTGCAACAGAGACAACGTCTCCCGATATCGACTGTGCAACTTTACGAAGTCCGTGGTCGCATGCCTGCGGCAGTGAAATGAGACCATGTCCGGGTGCTTCTGCTTCGCGAGGAAGCGGTACCTTGCAGTTGGGGCACCTTGGCTTCGGGTGGAAGCCCGAATTCTGAAAGGAGGGATGTGAGGCGGTGGGATCGACCAGCATCACCGGAGTCCATCTTGCATGTCGCCTCTTCATTCAGAAGCGATGGGCACGTTCATGCAATTTCGTACGAGTCATGAGATACTAGAGAGAGAATCAATTCGTTCGTAACACGCGCGGGATCTTGCTCTGGACCTCAACAGCTACCAAGGACACTTCACAACTCTGCATGATTGATCATCAGCGAACGGTTCGTTGCAGCGACATTCTTGGCCCTGCGAGCCCGGGCTCGGGAGAAAGTCTGATACACCGGTGCACACCGCACATGGGCGAAGCAGCTAGGCAGAATCAGTCTCCTTCGATCGCACAAGAACGTGCAGCGGATCCTTTTGTTCCCAGTGCTGGGAGCAAGCTCAAGCAGCAGCAGCGTCGCCGATGGCGACAACTGTCATCGGGCTGATATCCTTCGTGCTAGGAAGCTGATTGCTCTTGGATCGCGTTCTCGACGGCAATGCAAGTCCGTGGGGAAGTAAGCGTCACCTCGCCAGCACTCTATCTCACTGACTACAACTCGAGGCATCCGGTCGGCTCGCCTTCTTTGTCGCTCCGAGAGAGCGCGACACGGGCGGCGGAATCTGCAGTTTGCAAGACCATGGTCTTCTTGTGCTCTTCCGTCAGCTGCGACCTGAATCGGGCAGTCAAAGGGCCGTCTCGCTCTGCTCTCCGGGACTCGAAACTCCAAGTGTCTGGCAGCGCCTGTTCCGGAACGCCCCGTTTCTGCATTGCCAGCCGCGAGGACGTTGAGTTAGGTCGCTCCGGCACTGATTTGCCGAAGTACTTCACGACGACCTCCAAGAGCTGCAAGACCGAAAGAGCACTCTTCGTGCGGGCACGCAGTGAAACGCATGGCTTCGTAGCCTTGTGCCGCCACCCACGGTTCGGCGCCATCAACTGAGACCAGCTGCGTGTTAGCAAGTCCTTCGACAAGCGTCAGCGCCACTGGATTTCCAAAGCCCTTCCAGACCCCTGAAATCCGCCAGGCCCTGTGATGTTCAAGGCATGTTTAAACTCAAGACGATGCATGGCAAACATAAGACTTTAAGAACATCCTCTTAGTCTGAGCAGAGCTAAACCATGAGATCCTTGTTGAAGTCGGAGCTGTTGGCAAAGCGAACAACTTCACCAAGCAGCTCAAAACCTTGTCAGTGTCAGCCAGGTCGCCTACTTCTGGCAGCAGCTGCTGCTACTTCTGCTACAAAACTCATCCAGGTCTTCTGGGTATCTGGCAAGCTCCGTGGTGCTTGACCTTATCAATGGATGTGTTCCGGGTGTTCTGGTCCTATTGTCTTTAAGATTCACAGGAAGCACGCATTCCAAGCTCAGGAAACTGTCAGAGATCCGAGGTCCGAGAGGCAGGTCCGAAGAAGTGCTTGCGCTCCTCCTCGATGCTGCTGGGAGGCTGCAGGTACTGCTGCAGCAAGGCCTTCCTCGCGCACAGGATGCCATCTTTGCAAAGCTCGCGAATCCAGCGAACCTTGCCAAGTCTCCTGTAGTCGTCGATCGCATCTGCGGTTAAATTTTCCAGGAAGTCTGGAAGGCGCTTCCAGAAGATGCCTTCGATCGCGGCCTCCATCTCATCAGCAGATCTGGAGGTGCCTTGCACAAGTCCCGCGACATAGAGAACCTCGCTCATGCTGCAATGATGCTTCCGACAGCTTCTGCACTTATCAGTCTTGCGTGCGCCCCGACCGAGCCCAGCATTGCAGTCGAGGAGCATTGGACATGCTGCCAACTGCGCCTTGCACCACATATCCCAGCTGCTCTTCGGTTCGGAGCTGGGAGTACATCAGGTTACCGAGGATCAGGCCCTTTGAAGACACAACACAGGGAAAATTGCCGTGCATGAGCACACAGAACACACCCATTACCCTGAAAGCTCTCCGTGCTCCCAAGCTTCGATGGCCCCGAAGGCAGCCCGGTTCTCCACCGTGGCAACACCTACCAGAATCTTAACCAGTGCCACATCATTCGGATCCCCCTGCCGAGGATTCCGGGCGCGCACCTTGGAACTCGTGTTCTTCAGAGGACATACTCGCTTCGGTCGCACCCCCAGCTTCGCAGGTTGTCGCAAAGAGCACGGAGCAGCGTCAGGCAAGGCAACCCTGCATCTTTCGCATCCGGCACAGGCAGAAGCATATTCATCCAAAACATCTTGCGCAAGGCCTTTGAACTGCTTGCATGTCAACGCGCGACGCAGTCGGAAGTAGCAAGCAGGTCCATGCGAGATGCCGGATGAACCCGAGGCCAGAGCTTCGACCGGCTGCGCTGGACGGGCGATAGGTCGGACCCCAGGAAGGCTTCTCCGCTCGGATGGCGCTGCAGGAGAAGCCCAAGCAGGCACTTGAATAGAATGGATGATCTGTCCTGCGAGGAAACAGAACTGTTCGAACTTGGGCCGCAGTCTCTCGTGCTTGTCTCTACAGCGGGCCTACAGCTCCGCGGGCGGTGTCGTCATCGATATTGCCCATGACCAGTGCATCTAAGGCCAGCGGCTTGGACAGGATCAGCAAGCCCAGGGACCTGTCGTATTCCGAGCCCGTTGAACTGCCACCCAATTTTCTACAAGTCCTTTTTGCATCAAGACTTGTCATCGGCTGAAGGTCTGAGCACACGGAGGTTCAGCTCTCATGAAACCCTGAACCCTAAACCCTACGACTCCACCAACTTCTCGTTTCGATGCCAACGAGGCCTCATGACCGAGGTTGGATCTGCCTGAGCCAAGCCCGCAGCAGACTCCTGCAACTCTACAAGAGCCGGAACCTGGGTCCTATCTTGTGCAGTAGATATGAACTGCATCAGGTTTGGAAAGCCAGGAGCAGCAGTCCTCACGTGAAAGATCGTTCCCCTCCAGTAGAACTTTCCCAGCTTGCACCGCATACTTGGCTGGAAGGTCCGGGTATGTGGAGTACGTGTCCAAGAGTTCCTGCTTGGTCCAGTTAAACTCCGGTCCCAGGGCCTGCGCAGCATTGGCGTCAAGGTTAGGGACCCGGCTACGGCTAGGGCGGTCAGGGTTCGGCAGGTACACTTGGGTCCGGCCAGGCAGAGTTGCATCGTGTCGGGTGTCACTTCTTACTCTCGAGCGTTCCAGGAGTGTGCACGCGAGCGTCGCTATATGGTGCTGGCGGCTAGCGAGGCATCTCATCAAAAAAAGGGTTCCACTGCTCATCGGAGGCGGATCTGACCCCGGCTTTGAAGTCTTGGGTTTGAGGACCGAAGAATCCATTGCCAAGGCCTGCGTCGCATTGAGGTGGAAGCGATTGAAAAGACTTCCGAACCTGGGGCCAGCTTGAAGCGAGCTCATTCGTAGTAATGGACAAGGAACACCGCTGCAGCCGTTGTCCTGGTCCTGGTATTGTTGTTTTTTGTTTTTGTTGTTGTTGTTGTTGTTGTTGTTGCTGTTGGTGTGTGTTTGTTTTTTTTTTTTTATGTGGCTGCTGCCTTTGCTGCTGCTGTTCCTAAGTGTAAGTGGCTGATCCTTATCCTTGTTATTCCTACTGCTGCTGTTAATTGTGAGTCCTAAATAAGTGCCCATAACAGAGACGAACGGCTCTAGCGCATGAATACACTGCACTATCATAACTAGTGCCACCTTTCACACTTCTTCTCGTGCCGTTATGACAGTTGTTGACAGATCGCTTCACGATAAAACGTTACGGTGCTAACTCTATGCTGCGAATGCACAGCTAAATGCCACGGGAAATACACCTCCAAAATTTGGAGCGTCTTCCAACACCGCCCCAGCACGAGCAAGTACCTCGCTCATAATTTTTCTTGTGGGGAGGTGGCTAGCCGCCCCTAGTAGGAGCTTAATGGTACTGCTGGAACAACGATACCTTCCAAGTTCTTTGACGTGGGTGGAAATTGCATTGTGGAAATCATGTTTTGAGCCTTCAGCCTTATCCAACTTTCTTGAAACTCCGCTGAACATCTGTTCGGCTCCTCCTGGCACAGGTAAAGTCACGCTCAAAAATAATAAGATGCTGTTCATCGCTCAAACAAACATTTCCATGCAGCAGCGAGTAAATTGCTGTGACGTCAGAGACCGGCTGTGTTCATGCAATCATCGATGCAGAATTTATTCATGCCGCCCTGTTAAGACGTTACCCAACCCCACGACCCTATCTTTGGCTGAAACGATGACTTTACAGCTTGCTTGCTAATGGAAAAGCATCGCCTTCAAGCACCTGAACAGAAACCCAAATGAAACCACTCCAATCAAAGTCAAGTCAAAAGAAATGCAAGACCAACCGTCAAACAAAAATATGATAAAGTCGCAAAGCGCGGTAAGTGCCAGCTCACTCGTACACGACACGATCTCGGAGGATACCTCTTGCTGCCACTGGGTTTCCCTCGCTGGTTGTTTGGTGGGCCGGTGTGCGGTCCCTGGTGCGTCAGTACTCGGATTGTGCTTGTGGGTAATGTTGCTGTCTGCTGTCTCTTCTTTGGCGGTAAACGGCGGTCGTGATGGTAGTGGTTGTGGTGCTACACTTTTACCCCAAAGCCGCCAGTCGCCAAGCTTGTCCGAGCCACTTGTCGATGAGACTGGGGAGGACTGGCGCGAATGCTTCGAAGGACAGCTGCAGGCCACCCTCGTCCAAGGACATCCTCACAGTCTTGCCTACCATGTGGGTATGCTCACGACTTGCATTGTCCCCCCTCCGAGACAGACATATTTCAAGACCAAGTGGCGTGGCTTTTTGATCTGTGGCTTCCAAGTCTGCCAGGAGCGGAGTGACCTGCCGAACGAAGAGCCTGCGGCTGCTGCGGATGCGGGCCACGGCCATTTCGTTTTGTCAGCTGAATTTCATCAAACTTGAAAACTCTGCCTCTCGAAAACAAGCAGCCGCAGCTGGTCGGCTGCCTGACACGCAGGCATGCGACATTCTGACGAAGCTCGACAGCAAGCCACTACATAGCACCTGGAACAAACCACCCTGCAGGTACCCTTCCAGCATTCGAAGCTCCGGGCTTGGAGCGTGGCAGTGCAGGGGCGGAAATGCGGCACGGGGATGACCTCCTACATCTTCTAGCGTGGAAGCATCGGAGGCTGCTCAGGTGGCTCATCACGCGCCAGGTTGCTGATGCTTCCTGTTCCTGCGCTGACCTGTAGCGTCGCAGTGTCAGGTCGATGGAGACCTTCCAGACACCACAGCACATGTGCATTTGCTTTCTTTCCAGTTCTTTGGGGCCTTTGGTGATGTCGTCTTCCAGCCGCTCCGATACCAAACCTGTCCACATGTGCGCATGTCTCTGTCCTTGAGTGTCTCGTAAAAGTGCCGCCTGGAAAGCAACATCCGAATGCTGCTGATGCCCTTCTGCGTACACTGACCACCGTCCGCTCAGCATGCGCCTTCTGTGATTGGACTTCCAATGTGGACGTCGAGAGGTCGTCCAGCAGGGTCGGCGGGGCACCAAAAGTCATGCTGGCGACTGCCTGGCGCAAAAGCCCCTCCTTGTGGTGGCATCATGTGGCATCAACCCTACTAGACGATCCAGGCCCGCGTTGGAAGACTTCAACCACAACACGAGAATTCATTCTTGCCTCCGGTGAGGAGGCTGACATCGGAGCTTTTGCCACCATATTGGTCGTGTCAAGAGCCTGTTGCAAGTGTGTGATGGACAGAGCTTGCCTGTGCGGATTGCCGAGTGCCAAAGCTTCGGCAAGCGGAGCTATGGAGGGACCCGACCCGTCCTTCGGAATGTGCTTGATGGCGCCTGGAAGCTCAGGGCCCCCCGAGGGTGGGCCCTTCGAAAGCCAGTTTGACCACGTCTTGACGGCTTCGGGCATGCGATGTAGCAAGGGCATCACAGCCTTCGGTCTTCAGCTTCGGCGTGCAATTTCATGCTAGGCGGCTTCAGCAGGCACACTGGAATGTCCGCCGAGCGACATATTGAAGCTTCAGGTTCCGGTCCTTGAACACCTGCGAGCCTTCTGGAAAGCTGTCATTGCCTTTTGTGGACGGGATGTAAGTCAGAATGAGGTTCTGGGGCGTCAACAAGTCGATAAGATGCTGGACACGCCTTGGCCCAACAGTCTCCAAGGTGCTTCGAAGACTTCTATCGACATACACACGCACGCACACACACACACACATATGTATATAAAAAATATACACATATATACATATATGTATGCTACCTGCCCCCTCCCCCCCCATGTACCCACGCTTTGTGCTTGAATCGTACGAGATGGTCGTGTCCCTACAAACCCTTCCAATCTCCACAACCGTTCTTGGTCGCTTCAGTAATGCCAAATCTAATGCTCTGTACCTCCCCTTGCCTTCTAATACGATGTATCAATAAACAAAACTTCTAAGTACATTCTTCCTGTGATTCACTCAGTGTAAGTGGTAGATTGCTCAACATAGCTGACATAGCTGCTATTCACGACACTATTCTATACTAACCAGATATGAAAAAGTGCATGTATCAGTTGTTGAGTCCTACGTTTACTCACATTCTGATAACACGTCAACCTACCAGCAACTATGTTTGAATATTCACACCTGGGCTTGCACTAATACCAACATACACAAACAATTCTAGTAGAACGATGGCACATTCAGCAAACACTCTTGTTCTTCACGACCAGCTGAGAGAGGTTTGTTACTGGTCAAGACCCAAGAGAATTCAACATGCTTTGGCTCCTTATTACACTTTGTAGTCCTCTTGGTTACACTGTTTTGGCTACTTCTTGAACGAGTCTGTTGTTGTTCTCGCGCTCTTGTGTAATATCAGCTGGGAGTTTTACCGGTTTGTTCTAAGTCTACTTCATCTTAAGCCTGCGCATCATGTAGGTCCCGTCCATCTTTCGCACCTAATAAATGATGGCCACTAAACACTCCTGCATGTTAGAGTTTCGCTGTGAATTGCTCATAATGCACAGGCTAGGTTTCTTACTGTTAGCAGACAGCCCCCCAATGAAAACGTAAAGCAACATAAGTAAGCATGTATACATGTACCTTTAGAAGAGTTTAAGTTAAGCCAGCACACTTTCTTGATAACACGAGTGCTAAAGTACATACGCGTGCTCAACAGCAACTTCTTATTCAATCCATTCAACCCGCTAAACTAGCAAACTAGTGATTAGACCGACTGAATGTCGTCAAATTTAAGACTTGTCCAATGGCTAGTAAAGAACCCCATCAAGATGAAACCTGATCGCCCTCGCTGTACAATGCCGCTGGTCCTGCACAAGCCAGGCATACGGTGGGCATGTGGCATCAGCGACAGTAGTTTAGCCATTGCAAGACCAGCGATTTAGGAGAAAGGTTTGGGGACAAGCTGTCCCAAGAACCCACGCCTTCCGAAAGCTGAAATTCAGAAGAGAGGCGCGGGCATATGGCAGGGGGGGACCATCCGTTTATGCATTATTCATCTAGTTGTCTGTTCGCTTGTGTGTACTTTTGCATATTTATTTGTCTAGTTATCTTATTCTATTATTATTCCGATATGTGTATATATTGAATGAACTGGTTTTATATGTATGTTCATTTTTTGGCTCCATATATATATATATATGTATACATCTTCATATTGATTTGTCTACGTATTTGTATATATACATGTATATATATATATATACATACACACATATACATATAAACATATACATATATATATATATCTATATATATATATATTATACACACACGTATATATATATATATATGTTTATGTGTATATATGTAAATATATATATATATACACATACGTGTATATATATGGACATATATACAGATTAAGCAAACGTATACGTGAACATGAAAATATACATCTGCGCATACGTACACAAACACATACACACGCATATATATATATATATACGTATACATACACGTCCACGTATACCCAAACATATGCATATATGCTCGCGCACATACATGTGTATATATATGTGTGTGTATGTATGTGTGTATGCATGCATGCATCTATATATGTACGTCTGTCTGTATGTCTGTATGTCGGTATGTACGTATGCATGTATGTATGTGTATATACATACATACATGCATGCATCCATATACATACACATATACATAAACATACACATACGCATACGCATGCGCATATGCATATAGATATACATACATACATACATATACACACACATGTCTACATATATATATATATACACATAAAAATATTTATATGCACACACACACACACACACTCCTTGCCATCTGGCGCCTACGCGAGGTAAAGCTGTGTCCAGCTCAGGCAAGCAGCTCCGGATCCGTACGATCTATGCGAGTGTCTCCCGAGATGAGGAGGCGCGGGGGAAGCCGCAGCATCCGTTCGGCATAGTCTTTGGCTGCATCTCCCGGGGCATCCGGCTGAGTCCAGTTAAACTCTAGCCTTGGAGTTTACTAGCAGTGTGCAATTCGAAACCATCACCCACGGCATGACCTCAAAATTTCGTATCTCCAGGGTGCTGCGACAAGTCTGCGAGGGAGCGGTACAACTCCAAATTGACACCTGCCAAGGTTGTAAATCCTGACACCTCACCTCAAGGCAGTTTTGCCATGCTGGCGTTCAAGGTTTTTCGTTCTGCCGGCTGTCTTGCTACCTTGTTTTCCATGTACCGACCATCCAGATTTGTTTGATGAGGCGATCTTCATGGTACTTGCCATTCCCTGTCTGGCCAATACTACCCACTGCAAGTCAACATGTCCTTACCATTGCTTATCACATGCTACTCACTTGATAAGCTTGAACTGTTAGCACTGTGTAGTACTTCTTTGCGCGCTGACTAACCACATGCAGGAGTGCGTCGGGTTGTCCAGCTTGCTTGTTAATCAGAAAGATTCACTGTTATTTTTGGCCGCTGATTAGTGTCATTATTCCTTGTTCCCATGTTGAACCGCTACGATGTACCTGTCGCTTTCCTGACAATGGAACACAACCGCGGTTGTAGTTAATGCGCTCCATGACAGGACTCTGCCACCTGCACACGGGCACAAGCAGTGTGCGCGCGGCTGAGCTAGCCACCAGAATGCTTCATCTTTGCAACATAGTGAAAAAAGATGTCCATCACGTGGCCAAAGTTACTCGCACCTGCGGCCAAACAACACCCTACACTGGCAGACTCCATTCTGGCAGGACCCAGAACTTAAGAAACAACAGCAACAGCAGTGTCGCTCTTCTTCCTCCGATTATTTAATTCAACTCTCTTAGTAGAAATCCTGACTCGTACTGGAACTTGCTGCGGTGGTGGTAACAATACCAGTACGAAGAGCAGCAGCAGCAGCAGTAGCAGCAGAAGCAGCTTGCCGCTGCTGTAGTAGGAGTCGTCGTCCTAGTAGCGGTAGTTGACGTCGTCGTCGCCGTTGGTTCTTCTACTGGCTGGCCACAGCGCAAGGACTCTTGGCATCACTGTGGCTGCACCGCCTGGTGGCGGTATTTCGACTCTCAAAGCCGGGCCTTTGGTGGTCAGATACATGGCCACGAGAAACCGCGTGCCGGCGCTCGTAGAAGAGTCCGCCGACGAGAGGTCCTGGATGAGGCCCTCCTTCTTAAGATAGTTCTGGAGAGATGCCACGCCGGCATACTTAATGACCTCGAAACAAGACACGTCATTCCAAACAGTCTGAGTGCACGATCCCAGGGACACAAGCCAGCTTGCTCATGCCGACAGCTGCAGAGCACATTGGCATGCACTGCCTGAGGTCGCAGCATAGCTCAGATAACTGAGCGGTTTGCTTGTGTACTCCTTCTGCAAGTTCGGCAGGACGAACTGGAGCCATACAGCCGGGCGAGCCCTGAGATGCTGATGCGAGAGGCGAGCCGGTGGAGGAGTCGGAGTAGCTGTACAGTCACTCTCTCTCCGAAAATCAAGGGAAGCGGCTCTGAAGGCTCCACCATTACAAACTTTGACAGCCTCTCTGGCGGCCATGCAGGAGGCTCTTCAAAAGACTGGTTCAAACCTCACAAAAGCCACCGCAATCGTCGCCGGACGTTTGGTTGCCAGTTGCCATATGTTGCAATCACAACTAAGGGTGCTGTCGGTTCGGCAGCATGGCGACACTATCTCGATGTCAGAATACACAGCAGCCATGTGCAGCCGGCTCGGCAGGGCTCGCTGCCCTTCACAGTGCTGAAGAAGCGCTGAACCTTCTCAAGCTGTTCCTAGCAGCGAACACACTTCGGGGGCATCTGTCACCAAACGGCCAGTTACCGCAGGGCCCAGTACAACTTGCATCGTGCTATTCTGGCTATCGCAGGTCCTCCACGGGTTCCGGTGTGATAGTCACGACGTGCAAATGCTGCGGGCAATATGTGCGCCTGATGCAGCAGAGCCAGGCAGGCACGTGATACTCTTACAAAAAACCAATGCTGCCAAGCTGCCGAAAGTAGTCTTGCAGCGCATTCACCACATCAAGTCCTTGTGCCTCATCAGGTCAAAAACGTGGAGGGTTCCAGTCAAGACAGCAGCACTGCCAAGATGCCTTCGGATCTACGATCAAAGTTTGATAGTTGCCAGTGGCAAAGTTGTTGACACCTCAGTGGCCAGAGCTCTCCCCGGAGTACCAAGCCGCGCTACACATTGTAATACTCTTGTCCGACTTATTCGCCTTTCCAGGAGGACTCCAGACAGCACGTTAATGGTACTAGCAAACGTTCACAGGCACTCTTCACACACCGACGTCTCAATGCTATACAAACATGACCACCTAGCCTTACGATCACGATGCCTGTTTGCTTTTCGCGGTACAGCACTTCAGGATTAAGACGGAGCGCACAGCGTAGATGGCAAATGAATTACCGGGCTTGTGTACCGGAGCTATACTAATACTGGCATCGTCGGCCCACCGCCACCTAACATCCATCTTGTTTCAGGACTGTACTCTGTAGACACTATGTCAACACTCTGGCCACTATACCGTTACTTTACGTAGGCCGCGTGCCTTGATGAAATTACACAAGGCGCATGCAGCCTGAGTACTCTACTTGATCAGCTTGACAATACGTGAAGTACCGATGCTTCCCGGAACAACGGACTGCGCGTCTTTCGATGCAGAGCCGCATTCAATGCTGCTGGTACCGCAGTCTTCGAGTCTTCGAGTTTCATAAGCCCTCTGGTCGACAATGGTGCTGCGTCCTCGTTCTTTTGCTAACGATAACAAAACTAGGCTACTAGGTTCGTTCGCTACTGCCTTCTTCGGAGATGAAGGTTCAAACAAGGCCGAAGCGTGAATCTTGGCAGATCTTCACCGCAAACCGACGTTCGTTGTAAACAGCAGCAAGATGCAGTAGGCAGCAAGTAGTCACAACACACTGAAGACCCCAAATCCGAGGAATATAAACCATATATAAACCCAGTGAGCACTTGTCAAAATGGAACCATGTTACTCTAGAATGTGTATGCTAGACAGCCTAATTATGCCTACCTTACCACAAATAAACGAACAAATAAATTGACTCCGGTTATTCTCGCCCCTCCCCTGCTCTTATTACCAAGGGACGGCTTTCAGGATTTGCGAGGTAGTTCAAGACCTGGAGCACACGCCGAGCGGGGCTCTGCAGATTCTTCTCATGTTCGCCTTGGAATTACGCAGCATGCGTTGTGAGAGGCCTAGAATGGGCCAAACATGCGCTCACTGACGGTTTGTTGCAGACGAGCAGCTGTTAATTGCATGTACTTCCTTCTCGACAAACTTCCGACTAAACAGTGGCTCTGCGAAAAAGTCTGAGAATCGATCGACTGCCTCGTCAAACACCCGGCTTGCAAAATTTGCATAATACACCTCGGATCAGGGAGAGCTCGATTTCAAATCCTAGATCCGGCACCTTCACTTTTCGATGCATGCGCTAAGCCACACACAACTAATCGTGAGCCCGGTGGCTGTGGCCTCCTGATCTGTGTATGCATTGGATCCACCACCAGACTCGCCGAGAAACTTGTCGAAGCCAGTGGGATCAGGATATTTCTTCCTGAGCACTGCAGACCCAACAAGAACCACCTCGAAAGCAGGCATGCGAAGCGTGCACAATCGTGCACAAGGTTTGAGATTTCCATGACCCTGCAGTCAAAGCCAGGGTTCGTTCCAAGGAAGAGCATGTGCTCGCAAAAGTGGGCCAAACCTGGCAGCTCCTGCAGACAGAAGCCTCCATGGCCCAAAGAAATAGGACAAGCAGGTCGGGCTTCGTGGCAGTCCTTCGGCTCGAACATTGAGCCGGCTCGAACTGCCACAGCAATCGCGGCTTGAGTAGCCTTTTCTTCCTGTATGTTCAGGACCTGCACCCCGCAGTCAGTACCCAATCAGACTGGCTTCCGTTTGCATGCTTCAATATATCTGAACTTCGGATGACCAGATTCGGTGCTAGGTGACCCAAGCTGTTCAAATCTCTCGTCGACAGTGCGTCCCAGCAGCCTTGATGCCATTGGGCAGCTCAGCGAACCTGAAGTGAGGTCATGGTGGCCGTATCTTCTGCATCTGCCATGCAGCAACACTACTGCGCTGGAAGCCCACCCAGCGCAAGATAACTTCGGCACATGAGGTGATGAGTCTTCTTGCTGCGAGAAGAACCGTTTCATGGACTGCAAAGAACCTCTAGGAAAGTCGACTGGCTTATGAGGCAATGTTGCGACGGAGCGACTGATAAAGGCGTGAGTCTGCCAGCGGCTTGTCGGTCAGCTGGGTCACCTTTTGCAAGCATGCCTACCGAGCGGCCAAGCAGTAACTTATCACAGCCTGCGTTGTCTGCAAGGCCCCTTCAGCCAAGAGCCATGCCCAAAGCAAAACATGGAGACCTCCAGTACATCACAATTACTTTGGTCGGCGGATGCCTCTGGGCAACAAGCCGAGGCCCGCACGCATGCAGAGTTCTTGCTGCTGCAATATGGAAGGGGGTACGGTTTCGGTTTCCGGAAAAGGCCGCTTGAGCCTCCTTCATACAGACTGTGCGATTGGAATTTGAATAGACACTGGCCGTACACTCATGTAAGGCGGCCACTCTGAGGCAAGTGGCTCATTTTCGAACCTTGCGCCGGAACCGTCACGCCAGGCGCACGTGTCAAGCGCTGGCGGTTTACGAAAGGAACTGTCCAAGATCCGGTTCTGCTCTCGGAATTATCTCGGAATCATGCTCATTGCCTGCATGCTTTTGGGTCCAAAAACCACCATCCTGGGGATTTCTGTATGAACGGTATGAACCATCAACGTATTGCCTGTGGTGATTCCAGAACAGACTCTGTACAGCTTGCGCACACGCGCCTACAGGCTTAGCAAGCATCCAAACATACGCCAGCCTAGCTCGAAAACTGTGCATCTGCATGAGACACAAGCCACAGCGTTTGCACACGAAGAAGCCACAAACTTGTTAAAAGCTTTGGCAGGTATTCCTGTCTGACAGGAATGTGGATTGCAAGCAGATTGTGGAAGACCGTCTGCATACATTGCTGCAGACCTCTGCCCGAGATGTCAACAAACCAGCAACTGCTGGGGCGCTTAGCTCGCATTGAGCAATTCTGAGAAGGAGCATTGCACTCGTCCCCAAATTCGCTGAACAATATCCATGGGCTTGGACATCAAGTATGGAAGGCAGGCTCGCATAACGTTGGTCTTGAAGCCCAGCTCGTGGAGTGATCCTGCAAGTGCCAAATAGCATCTAGCGTCATCACTGTATGGTTGAGCTGTGTAGGATTTCGAGCCAGCTTGTTTCCAATGTATATAATACTCTTCTCAAGTTGAGTGATGCAGAGGCTAGCATCTGATTGGGACAGACCACCGTCACAGAACCAAGCGGATATCAATATAAAGAGCCAGCCCTATACACATTTCGTATATAGATATGCACATATCACATATCATTCATATACATATGCATACATACACATTTTTGTGTATATGTGTATATGTATAGAAATATATATATATATATATACATATATACATGTGTATATATCTTTGTATACATTCGACCCTCTTCTACAGATCTGCGCCTGGCCCCGTTTCTGTAACCTCTTACTTATCCATCTTTCAACAGCACCGTCTCCGTCTTTCGACAAAAGAAAGGAGACTGTCGACATCCTCTGTGAGCGTGTGTGCATACAAGAAGAAAAAAAAATATATATATATATATATATACATATATATATATATATATAAACAGATAGCACCCCCTCCCCATTGGTTTCCGGCCTCCTCCGATGCATGTGGGCTTTCTGTAAGGCAGTCCCACCCACAGCCTGGAAAATTGGCGAGGTCCAGCCTGGGGGCCCTCCCGCCTGGCCCCACCCGCCCTGCCAGCCCACTCCTGAACCCAGTGCCACCCACCCAACCCTCCGCCCCTCCTCCGCATGATGTGGAGGACCGAGAGACTCCTGTGGCTTTGTTGGCGTCGAGGAGGGTATTGTTTAGTGGATTGTGCTAAGGGTTCTGTAGTTATTATGTATAATACAAAAATGTATTTTTTTTCTATAGAAAAATTTTGTTTTGATAGCACCCCCCTCCCCGTTGGTTTCCCGGACCCCTCCAATGGATTTTGGCTTTCTGCGGGGCAGTCCCACCCACAGCCTACCTCCCTTACCGAAACACCCCTGAGACTGGCCCAGCAGGCCCCGGGTCCCTGGAATCTGCCACCTGGGGCCCCTCCCCACTTTTTTTTGCACTTTAACCATGTTGCCTGGAATCTGCTTTGGGCCCCTCCCCTCTCCCCACCCAATTTTGGCAGAAGTGTCAGTGTTTGTGCACCTCCGCTGATTTCGATAGCACCCCTTCCTGCCCCCATACCCCCCTTCCTCCCCCCCCGAACCCCTCTCAGCGTGTCAATGTTTGTTTGTGCAATTCGCAGATCACGTGGCGCTTAATAGTGCAGCCGTCTTTTTCAGTCGCGCCTGATGTAATCGAGCGTACGCTACACTTCTGGAGCGGACCCTTAAACCCTAAGCTTAAAACGCCTGATCCCTAAACCCAAACACAAGCAACCAGCGTTCTATGCCGAATTAGCAGCCCTGTAGAGTTTCAGGTGTGCAGAACCTAAGGAATGATCAGTAGTTAACGAGGCCGACACTAAGTGCGTGCGAAGCACGCGCGTGTTTCTCCCTTAGCAGGCCTTCACCTGTGTTAATAAACAACGACAATTTCTACACCTCATGCTGAAACAAAAAACCTGCTCGCTGTAGGTCATGTGGAAGAAGGGGCCGTGATTGACAGAGACAGGAGAGCTGCCGTGCATTCATTGCGAAATAGACCAGCTCTCCTCTCCGACAAAACAGAGAGCTCCGCCGATTTCCGGAGAGAAACCAAAGCACGCCCCCCGCCTCTTGCGACACAACACGAAACAAACCAGTTTGCTGTGGCCTGTGATGGAGCGAGGCTACGTTGGCTCAGGTGTACGATGCTAAACATTTTGCACACGGAGCGGCTGAAGATGTGTTCCATCGTCAGTCAACAAAGTGGACAACTCCCCAAATATTTCTTTGAGCTCTGTATCTAGGCTCTACCTCTTGACAAACGAAACTTCATCGTTACAGAGACAGACAGCTGCGACCATCAAGGATCCGATAGCTTGGTCGGAGACAGTACATGTTTGAAGGCTTGGGAATTCAAAAATGGGCTGGCCCCAAACTCTTGGAATTCGAAGGACAGTACAGAACTGTGCTGTGGGACCTCCAAAGTGGTGTAGTGCTCCTAAATTTGGCCCTCACAAGACCCGAAGTTTCGGGACGGTACAGCACTTCAGGGCCGGGACTTTAACATTGCACCCTCTGGTCTCTGGGGTCTTTGCCGGAACAGCCGTTTGTCTTGAACTCCTTTCCCAACCGATAAGCGAATCATGTCTACTTCCGCCCATCCATACAAGCTTCTGCTGCTTGCTGCTTGGCTTTTCCCAACCAGATCCTTGATCGTAAGCTGGTCCATTGTCCTTGAAGACATGCGATGAGGACATTTGCAGTTCTAAAGGAAAGCTATTTTCGCTGGTGTTCGCAGCTTCGTCGATATTGTCGAGTAGCTGTCGCGAGTCGACGTCAAGAGGGTGTAGATTTGGGAAGCGACGTGAGCGTGTGTATATACATGTATACATACATCCATACATAACAAACAAGCAAACAAGCATACACACATACGTACGTACGCACATACGTACATACAAACATACATACCATACCAAACATACCATACAACCGTACATACATACATACATACATACATACATACATACATACATACATGCATGCATGCATGCATGCATACATACATACATACACGCACGCACACATGCATACGTACATACACACACACATGCTAACATGCATGCATATACATTCATTCATACATGCATACATGCATACCTGCGTACATGCATGCGCACATACTCACGTACATACATACATACATACATACATACATACATACATACATACATACATACATACTGCGAAAGCAGGCGAACCAAACAC